GATCAGGACGGTTAGTCTTTTGTCCAGCCAACAGGCCTTCTTCGTATAACTTCTCTACGACTTCATGGGCTTCTTGGTATTTTGCCAGACCAGCAAGGGTACCTTTATCCATGAGATCTAGATAAGAACGTGCAAAACGCTCTGAGTGACATTCGGTACAGGTAATAACCCATGAGTCTAGACGATCTTCTGACCAGTCACTGGTGATATTGTCTGCAATACCCGGTACAAACGCGTAGTTTGCCCAGCGAACTTTTCTAACCATGTTGTGGCTATATTCGCCTTCGTATTCCATGTGGCAACCAGCACAAGTAGGTGCACTCTGTCCGCCAACTGCATAGGCGTCTTTGAGTTCTACGTCCCAGTTCCAGTCGTTGCCGAGCATACACCTTGATTTGGCCAGAAGGCGTAGCATGGCCAGACGGTCGTCCTTCGCACGCATTAGACTACACAGCGAACGTAGAGACCACCATCTGGGCAGCGATGCCACAGCGTGAAGTAGCCGAAGGCTGCTCCATGTGTCATACCAACCAAAACAAATGTGACTCATGCCACACCCGTCACGAATTCTCAGCAGCAGAATCACGCAAGCCAGAAGCTTGTGCGACCTGCCACAGTGGTGTTGACCACAACAACTGGGAAGCCTACTCCATGTCTAAGCACGGCAAGATGGTCGCCCACGTTCTGATTCACGCTCAGCAAATTCTTGCAGGTGACAGACGCCACAGACATCTGCTGTTGGCATGATGAGGTCTTTGGCATGATCCGCTTTCTTCTTGGCGTTGATGTCTACGTGACAGTCAATACAGCCAACTTCTTTAAGTGGCTCGTTGTCTCTGAGCTTACCCATTGAACGCAGGTTTCTTTCTACGTCTTCAAGTTTGGCTTTCTTGTAGAAAGTCGGGTCGCTTGGCTTGAGATTACGAACTTTGTCTAGGTTGGCGTGGGTGCTACGCTCCCAGGCTTGTACCCAAACTGGTGACTCTTCAGTATGGCACTCGACACATTCTCCACGACTTGCAACTTCGCGCATTGAGGTCGGTGGGGTGTAGAAGGTTGCTGGATCCAGATAGATACTATATGGAATCGGCTCCCAGTATTCCGCCATACTGCCAGGTCCCGCTCCGTGTGCAGGATCCTTATAACGCTTTACCAGTGCTTCGTGTAGTTGCTTAGGCGTAGTCGAGCTACGATCAAGCTTCAATGCTTCAAATGTCTCCGAGGGGACGCTCGGGAAGTTAGCCTGCGCACTCGCTACGAATAGCAAGCCACAGACAAACATTACTGTCCTCAGCCAATACTTGGCAACCATATTTCTCTCCTTGTTT